CCCCCCCTTCCCTGGGGCCACAGTGGAAAAGGGGGCCCATCGTCGCTTTGGTCTACTTCGCATCAATGTCCGTCGAGGAAGTGATTTCCTTCCACTCGTCCAGGCCTTTGACCGTCTCTTCGCATTTTCCTCTGATGATTCTGTAGGCGTCTGCTCCCAATGCAAGCCTCAGAGGGATCTCCTTGCCAGTGGTACCGGTGAGGACGTCGACGATCACCTTTGCGCCCTTTACAGGATCGCCTGGTTGGTTTTGGTTAGTGCGCTCCACGCGTTCTTCGGTCCTCCGCACTGCCGTCCCGTCGTAGTCTGAGATGTGTTTGACGTGGAGGCCCTTGTGACCGCTGCTTAGGAAATTCGAGCGAAAGTAGCCCGGCTCGATGCTGCAGACCTTGATGTTGAACTCGGCGAGCTCGAGATACAGTGTCTCCGTTATGCCGCTGACAGCCCATTTTGAGGCCTCGTAAATACCCACGGCTGGTGTCCCACGCCATGCTCCTATGCTGGAGAAGTTGGCAATAACTCCAGAACGCTTGGCACGCATGTACGGGAGAATGGATCTCATCACGTTTAGAGGGCCGAAGACGTTTGTTGCAAATTGGGCCTGAGTTTCTTCTGGTCTATAGAGGCGTGTCAGTTATGTCCGTATTGTTTGGGGTATTGTTAACTGGAACAACAACATACGTCAGCTCTTCTAAGCCTCCTACTTGACAGTACCCAGCGTTGTTGATGAGGTAGTCAATCCGTCCGTAACAACTGTGGGCCTCTTCGGCAAGTGTTTGTAGCTTTTCCAGGGGCAAGGTCACGTCCAGGCTCAATGTATCGGCTCCAGCCTTTTTGAGATCCTCGAGCTTACTGGCATTCCTCGCAGAAGCGATGACTTTGTCACCCCGACTGAGGACTTCAAGGGTCAAGGCTTTCCCGAAACCAGAAGAAGTCCCTGTGATGAACCAGACCTTGAAATTTGTCATCTTGATCTGTAGAGAAGAGAAAGCTGTTGTCTTCAGAAATCCAGATAGTGAGTTGAGAGGAAGGCGGTGGTAAACACAATCGAGAAAGGCGAGCACGGCAGGGCTTTTATTCTTTCCTTTGCAGTGGGTTTGCCTGACGTCTTGCATACCTGAATTGCCGATTTTGACACGGAACTACTGCAGACACAGTCAGCCATTCAGGATATCATGCCGCCTCTCTGCTGGAGGTTGTAGGAGCAGACAGAATCATCTCGTGAGTTTGCGGAGCCTGAGTCTTGAAACCCTCGAAGTTTCGAACTCTCTCCCCGAGTTGCCTTGCATTTATTGGATATCACAACGACTGAAAAGGGGAATGCGAAAGGCAGGACGAAGAGTATATGTAATCAAGCGCAAACCGGGAGACGGCATTAACCATGTAGTAACCTAATACTGATCGCCTTCGAAATCTGATGGATTCGGAACCATCTTTGAAGGGGGCAGATTCGAGGGGCTGGAAGCTGTGCGGCCGCGTCGGCCGCGCGTGTCCAACGCAGCCATCCCCATAGTCCTGCTGCATAGGAAGATGGGGAAAGGAGCGTAATCATTGAGGCAAGTAAGTCGTGGGACGAGCTGTACCTCTAAGAACCCACAGGGAGATATCAGTGGGGGAAATTGAACAGATTGTGGAGCTTAGAAAGGGCAAGGAGGGGCCAGTAGGCCATCAGTAAGGGAGCTGCATACCGGGTACCTAAGCTTTACCCCCTACATAATGACCTTGGCACCCGGTTAACTCTGCCGGCCTTAAATACCGACACTCCGGTCCAAAGAATAGAGTTCGCATAGTCTCATATAGTGCTACCAGTATTCTCGTCGGCTTCGAAGCAAGGGACACTTGGGTTATCAGGATATAGGCGATCTTCAGTCTTCCATCCCTTCATCCGGTGCTGCCAAACGACATGGCAAAGACCAACTGTCTCATCTCACAACACAAGTATAGGTGGCTCCCTTCAAAGCTCCAAAGGGAGAAATTGCACCCCACTCCGATCAGGACGTGATGAACTTCGATTTTGACAACTTCAAGAAGGCTACACAGGCGCAAGACTGTCGTAAAATAACCTCCTTTACACGGTCACAATCTTCGATTTTAATCCATCTTCATGGCAGTGGATTGTGGAAAGAGTTTGGAAGTTGTCTATTCCCTTCCTCTGGTGCCTTACCGGGGTAGACACCGAACAACCCCGGCGATGATCGTCATCTTCTATGCTGCCCGTTGCATAGTCCCAATGCTATCGCTGGCAAAAACGGCGACGGCAATGAAAGCGGCAAAAAAGACGAAGCCAAGGGTGGCAATCCGGAGCAGACTGCCTGGCTCTAAAAAGGCACCAAATTGATCCCCATAGAATACGGGGGTTTCCCCCAGAGAAAGAGATGCGATATCTGGGGTACAAGATGTCCGAGCCGAAGTGGCTACCGTCTATCTTGGGAACTAACTTGGCAAGATTTCGACCGAACGACCTTTTGTTTAGGTTTGAACTGCATCGGAGCCGACTAAACTCTCTTGCATCGGGTCGGAGGATAACCTGTCAAAAACGGAAATGGAGACGCCAGAAGATCCCTGGCTATAATTTCCGTCCCACTCAAAATGGATGTGTTTCTGGATTCTATTGTCCCAGTCTGACTCCACTTATTCAATTTGAGATGTGTGGGACCTAGTATGCTGAGTATCGGGGAAGATTCAAGTCTGTTCTATCGGGTCGGACCATATCACTGTCCGTGAATGGGAAGACCTGGGAAGATCTCTGGTAGCAGGTCGGTCTACAAAAGGATGGAATATCATGCCACTGAAGTTGAACCTGAATGCTAAGTGAGTTACGCAAAAATGGTTCTTCTCATCTATCTTTCTGCCATCGCCATTGTGGCCGTTGGCTTGATCTATACCGTCCTACACGTTGGCGCAAGGGCCAGCAACCTACCTCCAGGTATGGTCAACTCCTCGAGAGTTCGGCCTTTCACGGCATTGCGTGGACGTTCATCTCACTTATTGCAGGGCCGCCGACATTGCCTATTCTGGGAAATCTCCATCTGCTGCCAGGGAAGGGATTGCATCTCAAGTACTTCCACTGACATTCTGGATATCCCATCAGTGACTAATTAAGTGAAACCCCAGACTCACAAAATGGGCGAAGCAGTACGGCGGCATATATTCCCTCAAGATGGGAACCGGAACCGCAGTCGTTCTTACCGACCGCCGGATCGTCAAAGAGCTTCTGGACAAGAAGAGCTCGATCTATAGTGCGAGACCGCAATCGTACCTAAACGACCTCATTAGTGGAAGCGACCACATGCTCGTCATGCATTATGGGGAAGCCTGGAGGCACTTCCGCAAGATTTCACATCAGCACTTTATGGAAACCATGGTCGAGAAGGAGCACATCAAAGTCCAGGAAGCCGAAGCTGTACAGATGATCCGCGATTTTATCATCGCTCCAGAGCAACATATGATCCATCCCAAAAGGTTCAGCAACAGCATCGTTATGAGTTTGAGTAAGTGAACGACCTGATTGTTTTCTCTTGTTCTATTTTTTTTTTACAATCTCCCATGTTACTACCGGCTGCTAACTCCTAAGTGCTCAAGTCTACGGACATCGAAGCGCTACTTGTAACGAACCGTACATGGTCAGACTTTACGAAATCATGGACCAGTTGAGCGTGATCAATGAGATTGGCAACACACCGCCTGTGGATGTTTACCCCTTCCTGCGCTGGGTCCCCGAACAACTCCTTGGCATGTGGGTCACCCGAGCTACGAAGCTCTACAACGATGAAAACTCTCTCTTCAGTGATTTGCTCGATATGGTCCAGGCAAGGCGCGAGAAGGAAGGGAGCAAGGATACCTTCATGGACAGGATCATCGAGCAGGCTGAGAAGGCGGGATTGAACCGACACCAGCAATATTACCTCGCCGGAACAATGCTGGAAGGGGGATCCGACACTTCTTCTGCCATAATTATCGCTTTCATCCATGCCATGACCAAGTGGCCCGAGATCCAACTGAAAGCCCAAGCAGAGATTGATGCCGTTGTTGGTGAAGACCGGTCACCTAAGTGGTCCGATTACGCAAGCTTGCCGTACGTTGCTGCTACTGTCAAGGAAGCCAACCGCTGGAGGCCGATCGTGCCGCTTGCCTTTCCTCACGCAGTGATAGAAGGTGAGTAAACGAACATCATAGTGACAGTTTGCATACCGCTGACTTCGAAATGAGACGACTATATTGATGGATACTTTATACCCAAGGGAACCACTGTCATTCTCAACTCGTGGGGCTTACACCATGATGAGAGAAAGTTCCCTCACCCGGAGAAATTTGACCCTGATCACTACAAAGGCCAAACAGAGCTTGCCCCGGTGTTAGCTGCAGCGGCCGATTACGAGATCCGCGACCACTACGGCTACGGCACCGGTCGCCGAATCTGTCCAGGCATTCATCTCGCAGAGCGCAACCTTTTCCTCGGCATCGCCAAGCTGCTCTGGGCTTTCAGCTTTGCCCCTGGTAAGGACGAGCAGGGACGAGTCATTGAACCGGACGTGGAACCTATGACAGCCTACAGCCCAGGGTTCCTCTCCAGTGCGCTTCCCTACGCTGTGGAAATCAAGCCGAGATCCCAGAAGCGAGTCGAGACCATCATGCGAGAATTCAAGGAAGCGGGCGAGGTTTTTGCAAAATATGAGAAATGAGAAAATATGTAAAAGGGGAATAGCGGACAGGAACTTTGGGGGGGGGGGGGGAAGTACATCATCTGCGTGACGTGGGAATCCTCCGGATCCGAATGTAAGGTTGTGAATAGTGGTTGACAGTACTGACTATCAGAGAGGGTTACAGGACGCTTGCCGGGGGAGTGCTCTATTTTCGAGACTGTTCTAGTTCACCCATCCATACTCTATCACTTGTCCTGCAAATAAGTCGTGTCGATGGCGGGTCGTTATCCTACGAGAGCCCCTCTCTCGTGCTCTAAGGCTGACAGACAGGCAGCCCTCGGTTGTTCCGTCCATATCTCTTCTTCTTACCATCTCAACCTGTGAGTGGCTAGATTAGGCTGGCGAGACCCTCAGAACCGATATTTAATGCCGGGCACGTCGCCTACCATGCCAAGTCCATACCCCCCCATATTTCCCCGCGTCTGGGGTTGATTCCGACCCGAAATGCCCCACTTCGGATTTAATTTTTATTGGCTTGTGCTTCGTTTCACATGTGTATTTCTTATTGGTACCAAGTAGTGTCCTCTTTCGGTCGCCTCCTTGGTAGGTACCTCAGTACCTAGGCATTTTTTGATTCTCCTTCACACCAACCTTTCCAAAGGCACAACCATGGGACGGGGAAAAGACCACCCAACTTATCGGGGGAAGTGCTCGAAAGCCTGCGAAACGTGCCGGCGAAGGAAGGAAAGATGTGACGGCCGGCAGCCTTGTGGGCGCTGCATCTCTCGCAATGTCGCCTTCGAGTGTCAACCCGCGCAAAAGCGGTGCGCCACCCGCTCTCGCGATGCCCCAAGCCTAGCTCATCAACAGGAGCTGCAGCGACAAAAAACGGACGGCGATGTCACTTTTAGTGACGCGGTAGATGATGGCCAGAGTTTCTTCCACCACATGGACCTGCAGTCTTCTTCCCACCAAGCAGACGACACGTGCCGGAGCCGCGACTTGGGCGGCTCGCCTTCGGCATCGGCGCATCACCATATGTCGCGGCTACTCCGCGATTCGCGGGGCAAATACATGTTCATTGGCGACTCAGCCAACTTATCTTTCTTGCAGAGCATTCGGAAAGTCGTCGAGGACGCGATAGGCCACTGCGCTTTTGCAAAGGACCCGTTGCGATACCAGATGCTTGAGGCTGCGCCCGACGGCCGGCCAAACTGGCTATACACAGATTCCAAGGGCACCCCGCCGACTCCGACGCTGATAGAGGCAGAGTACCTCGTCCGTTCCTACTTCCTGGCGAATAACTGCGTCCTCGACCTCTTCGACGAAGCGGACCTGTTCAAGAACCTGCAGCCTTGGCTCGAGAAGAAATCGGCCGAGACAGATGCCCTGACTCCGATATACTATCTCGTCTTTGCTTTGGGTGCACAGACTTCTCCGGACGACAAAGATCAGCTCGCTGAAACGTATTTCAGCTACGGTCGCTACTTCACCGCCGTCAGTTTCGCCGAAGATCCCAGCATCTCTACGGTCCAAGCCTACGCAATGATTACCATGTACCTTCTAGGCGCCTCTCGGAGGAACGCTGCATTTATGAATCTAGGAACAGCTGTGCGAGCCGCATACGCGCTCGGTCTCCACCGCAAAGAGATCGCTGCTCTCTTCACCCCAGGCGAGTTCAGGACACGAGAGAGGCTTTGGAAGGTGATCCGCATCCTGGATGTTTTCATGAGTGCTTCTCTCGGGAGACCCCCATCCACAGCAGAGACGCGCGATACGCGATCTGAAGACAATTATTCGGCGTCGGTTGATCTCTGCACCGTGTTCGAGACGATAATGAACGAAGTCTATTCCAAACGCATGATATCAAACACGGCGTTGGAGAAGATAAGCGAGCACCAAAGGCATTGGGCCGCCAACTTCCACAAGGGCCTGGACGAAGACGGCATCAAGCCGACACCGGCTATTAACGGCGGGAAATCTCCCAACATTGGGCTCATGCACGTAAAGGGAGCATATTACTGGACTATTATACTACTCACACGTCCATTCCTGGTCGACGCGGTGTCATCCTATATCGCCACGGCGAATGTGCCGCCGGCGGAAGGAAACTCTGCGGGCGTGACATCTTACTCAGACAAAGTGCTTGTGCATGCCTGTGTTGACTCGGCAATACGCACCATCGAGCTACTACGGATTCTGCTTGATTTTAACAATGTCCCCAAGCGTCTCCCCTTTCTGGTCAACTACATCTTTGTCGCCGCGCTTGTCCTTGGTTTGGCTCATTTCGGCGACGTCGCGAAGATCTTCCCGGTGGGCGTCCATCTGAAACTGGCGCATCGATTGCTCGCCATGTTCCCGAAAGACGCTATTTCTAGCAGGAACACCACGATCGTCGAATATCTTCTACATGCTTGCGACACCGTAGCGGAGAGGCGCACAAAGTGGGACAGGGACCGTTGCGCCGTGCTGGTCAGAGGCATGTTCGGCAAGATTCACGATGACCCTGCGCCGAGCGTGGAATTGTGCTCAGCCTCTCCCACCACGCACATGTCGACGACGACGGCACATAGCTCGACAGAGCCATCCCACCAGATGGACCAAGCACTTCAGCTGCCCCTTGAGGAGGGCAATCAACACGGCAACACGTCGCAATACGACCCAATGTCTCAAACTAAAGGTCTGGTGAGCGGAGCTGCCACTGGATGCGCAAGACCAAGAGACAAAGGACGAGTCGGGCCTTTCGCACCGATAGAGGAAGCTAGCATGACGCAGGAAGAATTTGAGAAGGTCCTGCAGGCTATGTCGCCAACGACTCTGTGGTTCGAGTCCTACGACGACCATTTTCCACTCTTTTCAACGACTGACGCCCCCAGCACCTAATTCTTTATGTAGGACGACCCTTGATTTTTGAATACCCACCATGTGTAGCCGGGAGAGGAGGGCGGTGTCCTCATCGTCAAAGAAAAGTGCTTCTTGGTATGTTGCTGGGAACTGTTTCCTGTCATGATTTGTCTCCATTATGTCTGTTCGAATGAAACGATCAATGCAAGACTGGCCCACAGCCCACAGTGCCTCCAGTCTCCCTCGCGTCTGCGCGATGAAGTTTCGAGCTGGAAAGAAAATGAAAAGAACACAATTTGCCGCCTTGATGGCCGCCATGAGCTAGCTTTTGACTGAAGGTCTCCCAAATCCTTTTACCTGGGAGTACACCTAGAGTACTCGTAGATCCGGGATAGTCTGACGGGGCCTAGAATCTATCGTGGCCCCCCCACTGGGTGAACTATTGGGGTTCGCGCCACGTGAGCATCAAGCCTTTCACCCTTGACGCTACTGCATCTGCCAATGCGCTGAATGAAGGTGTAAATTCTGTGAAAGATACCCGCAGTACTCTACATACAGGCAGATATCCTGGCTTCGAAATCGACGGAGACGGACCGGGTGCTTTCCTCTTGTTTGCTATACGCCGTCGTCTTGGAAAGCCGGAAATGATTACAGTTGCTATAGCCGGTGCCACCGGTGGCGTTGGCCGCACCATACTGGACCACCTTGAACTTAGCAGCAACAAATTCAAGGTCGTTGTCCTGAGCCGGAAGCCCCCAGAAGAAGCTGCGGGATTATCTGTGGCTGGCACAAAGTACATTCACGTCGACTACGGCGATGTAGATGTACTTGCCAAGCTGCTGGGCGAGCTAGATGTTCACACCGTTATTTCGACGATTGGCATTAGCTCTGCTGAGACGAGCCGGGCTCAATGCAACCTGATCAAAGCTGCCGACAAGTCCAGCGCGACAAAACGCCTAATACCCAGTGAATACTGGGCGAAAACGGTTCCTGAGTAAGTCCCCTCCCTGCTCAGACCCAATACCCTTCTTCCCCTCCGCGACTTGCGCCCGAATCCGTCAAAGAGCCTACTAACGTGATAGCATTGCTATTCCTCAGGCTCTTGCCTCTGGATCCCACCGTGCAGTGGTGGCTAGATGCGGCCTCACTGCTCCAGTCCAGCTCCCTACATTATACGAGAATAGTTTGCGGCTGGTTTATGGACTGTAAGTCGTCTTTTTCCGGGGCCGCAAAGACCGTCAGGCGGTTCATACGGACATATCTCCCCAAGGCCAGATTTGCTAGTCCAAATGCAAGGTCTTACTGATTATGCAGATTGGGGAATGCCCATTGTCAAGTCTCACCTATCGGACTTCTCATGGGGCGTAGACCTCTTTAATCGCAGAGCGGCCATACCAGGAGACGGTAAAAACATTTTAAGTCTGACCCTTATTGGTGATGTTGCTCGAGCTGTGCTGCTACTGCTAGAGGCGGAAGAATGGCCGGAGTGGACATTCGCAGTCGGAGACAACGTCAGCTTCAATGAGTTCCTGGGCATCGCCGAAAGAGTAAGAGGTCAGTATTTCCTTTCCCCGGAGGACGTTGATAACTGTCAATACGAATCGCATTCATTGTGTTGACGCAGCTTGCAGGGTCCAAGTTCGAGCTCACCTATGACAGTCTCCAGGAGCTGGAGAATGGCAAGGTGACGTTGCTACCGAAGCCAGGCTCCACGGCGTGGGAGGCGTCGGCTTCGGAGACACAAGACAGAAAGGATATGCTGACTCTGTACGGCAAATTTTACACCTCGGCCGTGCTGGATCTTTCGCAAGAGTCGCCACAATTATCGGCAGTGTTTCCGGACTGGAACCCCAAAAAGCTGGAGAGTTTCCTCGCAGAAGTCTGGCAGGGAAGACCATAAGCGGGCGCAATGACTTATCATTGACCGTTGTCGGCACAAATGATTTTCCTCGACATAGAGCATGCAAATTTGGATAACACAGATTCAGTTCAGTAACAGTTAAAAGGCTAGCAGCAGAACTGAGTACGGAGTATGGAGCACGGGAGGAACGTGTCGAGGCCGCGTGTCGCGAGGCTGATCCTCGTAATGCTATTAATACTTTCGAGGCAAATTTCTCCGAAGCCGGAATAACTCTCTCGGTAAAGCTTCCTTCTTCAACAACGAACTCGAACTTCTCCTTCCACATTCCACATTCCAATCGCTCAAGGAAAACACCTGGTTCAACCGCTGCTATCTATCAAGCCAGAACAAATGTGGTCGGTCACCGACCCGCCACTATGTCGCTATGAGTTGTGACACTCCCTACGAAGTGCTTTCTCTACAAGCCTTGCCAGGAGAATAAAAGAAAAGGAGAGAAAGAGGAACGAGAAAGAAACAAGAAAAAGAAAAAAAATTCATCCCTCGTGCTCCTCCGCTGGTCCAAAAATCCGGACGATTTCAAAGCATAGAATTTCTCCCTATTCTGTGCCGACGCAACACATCACTTTCCAGCTGCTTGGACTCTTCCCACAAGCTCTTCCTCGCCGAAGTCACGGCCTGCAAGTTTCGCGTCATGCGGGCTTGCACGGCTGGAGCTGGTGGATACTTGTTCACACACTTTTGGTTGCAAGAATAAATGTATTGGACCTTCATAGTTCAACCTGTTCCCGTTTGCACAATGGACTGGTTGACTCCTAGCGTGCCTACATGAAATATTCCTTGATAGAGGTACACGGACATCGAATACTCGTACACCATTTCATATCATCCATAATTCGTCACATCGTGTCTTTGGTCGATTCGCTCTGAACGCTACAAAATCAAAAGGTCGACAACCAGAGCCTCGGTTGGCTGTGGCCTATCCGCCACCAGGCTTCATATTCCCCAGGTTAGTATTCTGGAGCAAAGCTGACACTTCTTCTGCAGAATATCCAAAGAAGACCGGCCCGTTAAAAATGACCTGGGTCCGGGCCTCTTTGCCCTCAACAGAGTCATGTATCGATCTCTTCTGCTGAGACGTTCTCTGACTCTGCTCTAGCGGGTGATCATCCCGCGACGCAAGTGGGACAGGCCGTGAACTCGCGGAGTGAATCTTCAGATGTGCCACGCCATCGTCTTCCTGCAGGGCACTAGGTGTGGGCTCTTTATCGACGGGCACCGAGATTCCCCATGGCCGACTGGGTGATTCTCCCACCCGGACCTCTCGCAAGGGCTTCTCAAAATGTGATAATCTCGGCGCTTCATCAGGGACGACATCCTGAACCGGAGGGGCGGTGGCATCTTCACTGACATTCTCGGCCCATTTCTCCACCGCCTGCGTAGAATGTTCGTCAATCCTATCTCGCTCCGGTAGATAAGCTTTGTGCTTAACTCCCAGTCCTTGTATCATGTTCACCAAATTGCCATACTTTGCATCTAGTTGTCGGGCACTGGTTTCATTGCCCTGGTACCTTCGCACACAAATTTCGTGACTTCGGGGAATTTCATGCTTGTGATTCTCGAAATATTTAGCAATTTCTTCAGGAGAATGTTGATCGAGGAACCGGATAGGACATTGACCAGGACGTTGCTCTGCATTTGGCGAGCGCGCTGAGTGTGTGTCTTGGTGGAACTCTGCAGCTATAGGATCAGGGTGCGCAGACGACCCGGGTCCATTCTGCATCTTTGCAAAGGGGCACCCCAATGTCCCTTGGACGCCAGGAGTGGTAAAATCCCGTTCAAGATCTTCGGGGTCACCATTTCGGTGCGATATCGGGCAACGCGCCCCGTAGGTCGGAGGTATCTGTGTCTTGGACATCTTGAACTTTTGAATGGCTTGCTGCGCTTCGCGGATAGGGAGACAGCACTCGATGTCGGTGTTGATGGCAGGAAACTGTCGGAATTGTCGGACCACTTCACTCGGAGCAATGGAGGAGGCCGAGAGACTGCTGTCAGCAGCTAATATCTTCTCATACTACATAGTTTCAATCAGCACTCCTCTCCCATTAAGCAGGGCTTTTGAAAAACAGCGTCGGGTAATTTGCATTCAGCTAATACATGCAATGTGTCGCTCATCGCTGCAACAGAACTGCAGCTCTTGATCTAGAGCTAATCAAAAGATTCTCATCATAACGCAAGTGTGAGAGGGATAAAACGGCGAGATAACGACTCACCTCATTTGCTGCAAACTCGAGCCTCTCCCTCAAGGCCTTCTCGTTCTCGATGTGCGCGCGGACGGTGGATAGGAGGGCATCAAACCCAGAGATTAAGGAGTCGACAAGTGCCGACTGACTGGCGTCAGGAGGAGGAGGAGGAGGCGCGTTCATCGGACTTGGAGACAGGGACAACGAAAAGCTGATCTAGTGGACTGAATTCTCGGTCTTCAGAAGTAGCTCAAGGCACCAGCAAAATCAGAAAATCGGGAGCCGCAGCGCAGCCAAGAGAAGTGAGACTAGCCCAAGGCGAACCCTCGACTGGGAAATTAGTCACGCTGCCCTATTGTCTTCATCCAAGGTCAAAAATCTGGACAGCTGAAGATGCAAGGTATCTTTGGAACTGCCTCTGCACTGAATGCCCTCTAAAGATATCTGACATTCAGTTGATTTGATGAAAGGACTCACGTCTAGAGAGGCGATACCATAAAGTACCCAGCACTCCAGCTTCTCGTCTTCTCGTACAGTCCGTTACGAAACATGTCTTATGGCAATCACTTTCACCGCTGGCATTATCCCTCCTGCACATCACAACGGTTGTTGGAACCAGTCTTCTCCTAGACACCTGAAGCGGATGCCCAAAACATTATCTGCGGTCAAGATAACACGAGGTGTAGCGGCCACGTCCTGTTCAAAATTTTGACATTATCCAAGCAATTCCTCCACTACCAGCAGTCATGGCAAGTCCAGCAGCTTGGGCAACTCCATTGATAGTGGCTAATCCTGCACCTGCAGCACCTGCGCTTTGAGCCATGGCAAAAGAACTCCCAGCTACAACGTTTCCGATTCCGCCATGGATGACGGCAGCCGCGGAGGCTTTGTATCGTTGGGAATGGTTAGTGAATTGGACCAGAGGTGAGGAAGTCGAGAAGGGAAGAGAGGTCGGATATGAAGCATTGGCCCCTGGTCCCACTTACCTGCTTTAACACCACCAGCCCCAAAACCTATTGCAGAAAGGACTGGTACCACAACGAGGCTGGGAGCAGCAATAAGAACAGCGCCCGCAGTCCCAACGACTCCGCACGCAGCTAGACCTGGATTTTGGACGCTCCAAGTAGCAGCCTAGAGATTTTCCAGGACGGATGAGCAGCTGATGAATTGAAATGCGGGAGATAAAAGGGAGACTTACCATTACCGCTGCTTTCGGGCCGTGGTTAGCAATCGCTTTCGCGCCAGAGACAGTGACTGCCAGGACCTTGCTGCCTGAAGACATCATATCAGGTCGTATCGTAGTGTTGATATAATATTGTTCCGTGATAAAGATGTGAATGACCTCGTTGAAGGGGTTCTCCTTGAACTCATAGAAGGGAATTCATGTTCGTGAAAGGTCGTAGTTGAGGTCAGGCTAGGCCAGGCAGGCTGGCCAGATAAGGCTGTGCAAGGCTATGCAAGGCTATGCAAGGCTATGCAAGGCAAGGCAAGGCGACCGTTTTGCCAAGGTATTAGGTGATGATAGATTGTCGGCCAGCCTAATTGGGCCAGGCTATTGGTCTGTCTTGGAACTGCGGTGGCCTGTCCTGCCTCTTCCCCCTCTTCAAATCTCGTTGTCGCTCGGATAACGTTTTAATCAATCAATCAATTGCCCTATTCCAGAACCCAAGATTTGCATTATTGAAGGGTGCTTGATTGCTAGTTGGAATGTGTCGTGCGAACTGGTCTGTGTGAGAGCGGGTGTATCAGAGAAGCTGCACGAGTAAGCCGCATGCGCAACTGCAGGGCTAGATCTGCCCAGGTGAATGTTAGGAGCGCACGTTGATAAATCGGGCTCAAATGCGACTTTAAGTCGCAGTTGACCTGACAAAAGCTCTGAGCACATCGTAGTCTTTCTGTAGGTGATGTATTACCATTGGCCTTTGCAGACCGCGCCAATGCAGGTGGTAAATGTGTGGTTTCTTTTTTTTTATTTTTTATTTTTTTTTTAGCCAACTTCCAGCGGCACAGTCAATTGCTCAGCTGCTGCACCTAGGAAGTCGCCGATTGTGCGAAGTAGCCGTGAGTGTTCCGACCCGGGCCTGGGAGAGATCTCGTCGACAAGTTGTGCGTAGACGAGCACCATCTTTCGCGCTGATACAGCGCCAGGGGAGTATGTCTCACCACCGAATGTAAATGCTCCTCCCTGCACGATGAATCTCCAAGCCTGGTTGTTCACCGTCGTCGCCAAGCGATCATTGTCTTCGAGTCGAGACCGCATGCAGAAACCTTCATCACCGATGCCGGACCAATCGGGACTTTGCAAAAGTTCAGTGGGCTCGGTATAAGAATGGTCGTTCCAATGGCTGACACAGATATACATAGCCATGACGAGAGCCGCATTCGACAAGACCAATTCCGGCAACAAAGTCTTGAAGTCAGAAACTCTCCGCTGAGAGAGAATGCTGAAGATCTGTGCTGAGTGTACGGCAGCCCGTCGTGCACTAGACGTCCGTGACCACAATAAAAGGTCCCTCATGGCCTTGTGTGAGGCTTCTAAGCCTGTCCTGCTGCATGCAGTCTGGACTCGATCTATGTCTGCGCACAACAGGAGGCAGAGATGATTCCAAGTCAACACTGCTGGCGCATCTTGGTGGATCATAGGCATCTTGGTCGTGGCAATGGATACCAGAGCCCTAGCAATGTTCGATGCACTCCCGTTCTGCGCATATGCTAGCGATGGAACGAAAGACGTGAGTCTGGAGGAAGACGTCGCCTTTGAGAGAAGCTTGTGTCTGTATGCTGCTTCCCGCAGGGAGAGAACGTCGAGAAGGGCTCTCACACCTAGGGAATCGAGAGCAGAGATCGATGACCCTCCTCCTAGCGGTACTGCTGCTAAATCAACTTGGTGAGTCATCATCGATGCTCCAGATTCGACCCTGCAGAAGAACACGTTTGCCGAAGGCGCCTCAAATAAGGTCGAGTCACAAGGTAACACCACCTCTACCCTTTCGATTCCAATGTTGGCGGCCAGATCAAGCATCCTGGTATAAGCGGAATCGATCGATATCAAGCATGTTACTAGTCTTTTCAAAGACTCAACCCGTGCCCAAGCCTTCCACTGTTCCACTGGACTCGAGAAACTCTGGAACATGTCCAGTGCCACCGTCTCCCCATCATGAGCTGAGAACATACCGTGGCGATCAGCGATGAAGAGCGTCTGTATAGCAAGCATATGTGCTTGATACTCGTCAACCAGTTTCTCGCAGCTCAAACCCAGATATAGCACGAGAAGTGCCGATGCTAGGGACGTCAAAAGTTGATGAGCTCCTCCCTTCCCGAGACCTTTATAAGTGAGGTTCAGTCGACTAAACCGTATTAATTTGCCCAGGTAAAGCCGAATGAGATCTTCCGCTCCGCCGGGATTGAGGATTGACAGTCCGATCAGGCATATGGGCAACAAGAGCCAGCTCGGCGTTAACTTTGCATCGAAGGTGACTTTGTGCAAAAAGGGCAGGACTGGATGAAATCGCCGGAAATAGAAGTCGATGCTCATATCCAGCGTTTCCGTAGAGGGGAATGGGAGTCGAGGTGCATGAGGTGAGAGACCTTCCACTTCCACTTCTTCTTGCACTGAAGGGACGGAGATGTGAGGCGATCCCGGAGCAGTGACTCCGCCAGTGTAGCTCTCAGCAGGGAGGAGATTTGTCTCGCAATCCGACATAAGTCTAGCTCTGCATTCATCGTCCATATTCCACCTTGAGCTTGGGCTACTTGCATTCTGCGATCCAGATTGGCCCGCGAGCAATGCGTTTGAGAAGAAATTGTCCGCGGTGTGCTCTGCAGCGCAGCGCCACATATTGCGAATCACACGTATGACAGGATATGCACGTCTTCTCGGCCATGCTTGCTGCACGCGCTTCGACAGCTCTAGGGAGGCTGCATCGAACAGAGTTGCATTTCTGTTTTCCTGACCTGAAGGTGAAAAGGGCAGCATGCTTTGGTCTGCCGTTGGGGCGGGCGTGATCCATCTGTCGAGGGCGTCGAAGACCGAAGGAAAATCAAGGTTGTAGCCACAAAGTGCGCTAAGATCAAAGCCAGTGGCGGAAATTGAGAAACCCTCTGTCGACTGCATCTGCTCCGAGGCCGCAAATTGCATCGCATGTGTGATAGTATTATCGTTGGTGGTTGTGCCTGATACAGCTTGGTTGTCTAAAGAAGAACTTATGCCGCCATCATGGCTCAGTCCGAGAGCACGTTGGTCGCTAGCGAAGTTCGTCTGCTGCAATTCAAAGGATACCTCTGGCGCAGATTCTTCTGTGGCAATTGTGTAATCTTCTCGATCTTCTCGGCCCTCCGTATTCACCCTGTCCTCTTGACTTTCCGACCCATGATTTCGAACATGCCGAGCAAGGACGTCACTAATAAAGGGCACGTAAGAAAGGCCTGAGCTTTTCAATTCTACACTGCGTACCTTCTTGCATATGATTTGTAGCAGAGGTGGCACTGGAATGGCTTTTCGCCAGTGTCTATGCAGCTGTCAACCGACGCACCCACCTAATTGAGCCTGACCTTGTCAAACATACGATGTCGTTGATGTCGGCGAAGGTGCTCATTTCTGCTGAATCGGCGATCACAGAATTGACACTTCTTCCCGGTAGCAGGCGAAAGACCGCTCATTGTGCTCAGGAGTCGTGGTCATGCTTTATTGAAGTTGCAGAGGATGGGAAAGGAGGACGCAAAGTCCAGACTTTGGTAATTCATGATAATATGCTAAGCCAACCTGGTGGGGCTTCTGGACTCAGTCCCGTTACCGCGGGGAGTGGAGTTTAGCTGTGAATTGCGGTGCTGCGCTTAGGCTCGCCACGAGTCGGATTAGAGACACATGGGATCTTGAATGTAGATTTTGGACTCGATTAATTCAAGGTACGATTCCGCCGAAGCAGAGCAAGATTGTAGCCTTCATATCAGGAACACAAGCGGATCCTCAGGTTCAGCTTGAACCACTAAATCGCTGTCTACGGTCGTCTATATTATGCTTCCAATGGTTCCATTCTGACTTTTGTCTCGCCATCAAATTGCTTGAGAAACTCCCTTGCCGCGATGCCTTCGTTGATGACCATCTCACGGTGTCGATCACTCCGAGGAATGAATCGAGCTCGGAACGGCTCCGGGCGCATGTTCTCCGACTCTCCATACGCAAATATATCTACCGGAATCTCGTTTCCCTGCATAGAAGTCAGTAGTGGAACATTTATCACGGGCAAAATTCTTGAACTCACGTTACCGTCGATGCCTGGGCGGATATCAAATGCCCACAGAAGTCGTGCAAATGTAAGAAAGAGTCCCTGCTCAGCAAGTGGCTGTCCACTGCACTGTCTTCGTCCCCAACCAAAGGCGTTGTGACCTTTCTTATTGGGGTAAGGACGCTCTCTATTGATGAAGCGCTCGGGCCGATATATATCTGGGTCAGGAAAATCGTTCGGGTTTCGGTGGATGACCCAGAGATTGCCCGTAATCCACGTCCCCTTGGGAATAATGTAGTCGCCATACACGTCATCCTGCGAAGGTGCGTGAGGAATTCCTCCCAAGATCGTGACTGTTCGCCAACGGAGCGCCTCCTCGACACATGCACGAATATAAGGTAACTGCGCCTCGTCCGTCCAGTCCGGCAATCGTTCAGTCCCAACAACATCGTCGATGAACTTTTGCGCTTTCTTTTGGACTTCGGGAAATGCACACATGGCAAGAACAAAGGTCACCGTGGTACTTGCCGTCGTGTCCACTCCGCCGCCAATCATGTTGCCCGTCAAAAATGAAATTTCTTCGTCCCGTAGACCATTCACTTCCTTCTCTGTGAAGAGCGCCTTTGCAAAGTTGTCGGAGCTTGCCGTGGAGGCTTCTAGGGATAGGGAAGTAAAGAAGCGTTGGAATTTCTTGCCGTTCTCCAGTATTTTCGACGCCGCAGGGTAGATCCATCTAGGGAGTTTGATCAAGAACGGGATGGTCTCCATGATAAACATCCCTGGCATGACTAAGTCCACCCCTTCCATAAATTTGAGTGCGACTTGTGCCACACCGTCGTTCATCTTGTCCACTCGACGTCCAAATCCAATGCAAGAGACAATTGAGATTGAGTATCGTTCGATTGCTTTGACATAGTTTTCCGGCGTTAACAGTAAATCTCGTAGCAGAATCCGGATTTCAGATTCTTGGAATGGCCGGTAAGAGCGCACGGCTTGAGAGCCCGTGGCATTATGAGTAAGCCGGCGATGATATCGCCAGCGGTCGTTGTGTGGTAGGCAGACTTGATCGTAGTCCGTGGCATTCCGAGAGTCCCCAAGCATGACCATATGTGGTCGAGAAGAATAGATATTTGCCCTTTTGTCGAGTAAATCAGAGATGGACCATATGTCGTTGCAGATGATATTTGGCCTGTGACCGTGCCAGATTGTAACCATCGAGCTCTTATATTGCTCGCTTAAATCTGCCATGTAGAGCCATGGTCGTGGCAACTTGATCTGGTAGTGATTGCCAACTAGTGGCCATGGGAAAGGTCCCGGTGGAAGCCTCCGTCGCTGCTTCAGAACTCGGCAATAATCGAGCAGTATATAGGTCAGACCCAACGCGAAAGGGAGAGCAAGCAGTGAAATGGTGACTTGCAGGAACGACCCATGAGTGAAGCGGTCAAGAATACCAGTGCTTGCGAAGTTGGTTTCTAACTTCATGGTCAAGGGTTATTGCAAAATCGAGGGCGAGTTGGTAGAAGACTACCGCCTTCTTTTAGTCCTCAGAGCTTCAATGCCAGGATATATGTCTTGGGGGGGACATTTTGCTCTTGGGCTATTTCACCGATCGGCGTGTCACAAATCCACCCAGCCAGTCCACAAACAGATCTTTGTCAATAGTCAAAATTCAAGGACCTGCGTGAGTCAATCCACATCAATTGATACTGAGCACCTTTCGAGCTTTCCCCCCACATTGCAGCCCACCATGTTCTGAAGTGGGTTGACAAGGCTGATGTGGGGGTGGGTCTTGAGCCTTTGGCAACGCCCCACACCATACTGGGTATTGTCTCTCTGATACCACCGCCACAATAAGTCGGCCTCTCTCCCGGCACTCGACTTTCGGGACTGGAGGATCACGTGGTGGTTTAGATCGTCGAGTGTGGGTATTTGCCCACCGCGGATACTACATTGAGCGATTCTACCTATATGATAATGAAGTGGCATATAAGGAGATTAAAATTGTTGGTTGTACATGTGTTATGGTTCATTTACTCGCTAGTAATGAGCAGGCCATCTAGCCTGCCTGAACACTAGCCTACGAGATCATGCGGTTCGTTCTGCCTCATCGAAAGACTCACGAGATAAGCCTGGTTTAGCAGAAGCAAGGAGATTCACGTTGCGCGATCCAAAAACGTTCAGCATTTACATAGAACTCGGACTTTCAAGCTTTCTTTCTCTCTGAGAACAGATGACGGCCGCGTATAGAGTATGCCTGTAAAGGCCTCGAAGAGTCTTGCGTCTCGGTAACTTTGAGCTTATTGGAACCCTTCAATCATTGACCCAACATTTGTCTCTTTGGCAGTCTTCATCAAAGATATTCGTTCAGGGTGGTTGTGCTTCTACTGCTCATCCAACGCCAGTTCCTGAGCCCGCTCAGCGTGCTTGTGTCCGTGTGTGGTCGCTTCCTTGCCAAAAATACCTTCCCTCTCCATATGAATCGCAGTATGGTTTGTCAAGTAAATGGAAGGATCTCGAATGAAGCATCCGATAATGATGGCGATCACTCCGAAAGGGATCGTGCTGAAGAAGACCATACGGAAGGCCTTAGCGTAGACAGACCGGGCTGCGGTGATAGCTGCCTCCTGCACGGTAAGGGTAGCTCCCGGAATACCTGCAAAGGCCCCTGGAACGCCGACCACGGTCTGGATGGTTGCTGGGATTAGTAGATCGAGACCTGCTGGAGCAAAGCCTTCTCCAACAGCTGCGGCCGCTATGGCAGGGCCGAGATCCTGGCCTACCACGCTCTGAAGAATCGTATTGAAGATGGCGTTTCCCACGCTTCCTCCCATACTTCGAAACGTCCCTATCAGGCCAGTCGCCAGGCCTAGATACTTCAATGGAATGTTGAGACCTGCAACGACGTAGCAAGCCAGCACGACTAATGCAAAAGGCCCCACCGCAAAAGCCTGAAGTGCGGCCCAGCCGATCTTATTCTGCGGGATAACGGCGGCCAGGCAGGCGATGAAGATTGTTTGGATGACCAGGGAAACCAGGATTTGCAACTTCAAGTTTTTGATCTTTCCCATAAAGCTTGTCGCGACGGCACCAAATAGCAGCTATTCTCAGCATTAACGCTTTCCCACGTTTGGTTTTTGGTATAGAGTGTCAAACACACCTGAACAATCCCGTTTGGCAGGGCAATGTATCCGATCTCTATCGGATCACTTGTGAAGATATATAAAGAAGCCTGTGGGAGTAGTGCCATCATGGAGTAGAACGTCATCCCTGAAATCAGTCAGTACAGGGGACCAGATGAGAATAAGATTCCTGCCTACCAGCCACAAAGACGATGCCGAGCAACATGGTAAAATCGCGCAGTTTCCTGAAGACCACAAGCGGAAATAGTGGTCTTTTCGCCAATGTAAAGTCGTACGCAAAGCAAGCTACCAAGCAACAAAAGCCAGCAATGATCGGAACAATCACCGAAGCACTTCGCCATGGATGATTCGCCTGGCCGGCCCAGGTCAAGCCAATGAGGAAGATCACTAAACCAGCCGAGTAAAGTGCGAGTCCAACAAAGTCTAACTCTTTGACTTCTTGCCAGCGAGTCTTTTCGATATCGAATTGTGGTCTTTTGGGTGGCCAATAGAACAGCAGAGTGCCCAATGTGCTGACCACAGCAAAGATGAGCCCAATGTAATAGCACCATCTCCATCCCAATGAGGTGTGCAAATTCAACTCAGTTGCTATAAGGACATTGGCACACCATGGAACGTTGATGGCGTATTCGGTGAGTGCCAGACCTGTTCCACTTTTTCCTTGAATCTTAGCATCCTGCACACAAGGAGCAGGAATCTACCAAGAACTTACCGCCACTTATTGGGAAGCAATTCAGAAATACCGGCATAGCTCACGAAGATAATGCCACAACCAAAGCCGAGAAACGTTGAGGCAACAATGATGGTGCTCACATTTTGTGCCGTTGCAGCCACAACCTGTTATTTGTGATCAGCCTCACAAAATCTCGAAGTATCCAGTGCAGAAGCAAGAGGCAAAAGGCTTTTTACATACCGAGCCGACGACGCAGAAAATTTGGCCCGACAGGATCGTCCATCTCCTTCCAAACACATCACTCAAGCCCCCAGCCATTGAGAAGGACACGGAGGATGCGATAGACCATCCACCTACCAGCCACGTAATCTTGGTGGTATCTCCAAGGTCCGTGCCGATTGGGATGATTATGCCAGTTGCAAGAGAAAAGCCACAGGAGATGGGGCAAATGTATGATATTGCCAAAGACTGTCACAGCAAGTCAACTTCCAGGAAGATCTACCAATTAGATAAGTATCAAGGCCACATACAACGACCGCCAGTATCGTCGACAGAGACAACTTTTCCGCATGTTCAGGGTTGTTCTCGAGAGCTGCTCGGTGAGGATCAATGAAGTCCAGAGGAACGTCCTCAACATGCTGTTGGTGCGAATTTGCAGACGCCTTCTCAAGCTCGCTCGCACTCGTCTTCGAATCAGCCTCCATTTTGAAAAGATGTTCGCCAGTGTCTTCCGTTTTGTTAGGGAAGCTCGTTCGCAGTCAGACAGGCAGGGGTGGGAGGGTTTAGATATTTATTTTTCTGGCTCCTGTCTGTCTACCTAGTACACTGTCTAAGACGTTCATGAGGCATTATGTGGTTGATTCGATCATTTAGCTCTATGTCTGGGAGCCATCTACAGGAAACGCGCCCCCACATGATCGATTGCCGTGGATGTTAGCGAGACGCGTGCTAAAAGAGGAGTGGATTGGCCAATGGTAGAAGTCCACTTTACCCTGTGCCACGAGGAGCAACTGATCCCGGGTCAAGGTAAGAGAATCACCAGAGTTCTAATTCCCGATTAAATGGGCGGACTTAAATCAATCACCGTATCTCCTCAATCTGAATCTGGAGTCTCTGAGCAATCCGGGGCTGTGGCTATGTAACTAGCGGGCGAGATATTCTGGGGCCCCCACATAAAAGAGGCGTTGACAGAGTGACAGGGCAAATTTCGGGTTTCGGTTGATCCCCCCACTCCTCCTACTGATATCTCCAGCGGTAAACGCTGGGTAGGGTGAATCTTCCTTCTATTAACCAACCAACCTATTCCTGGACCCCAGGTCATTTCAACACTCTTCTCCTCTTGGGGCCACAGAGACACATGCTCAACAAAGGCTTTTGCACCAAGACGGTCGCTGTGACCACCTCTTCCCTGGTTCACTAGCCAGTTATGACAGATGTCGCGACTGGCTATACAGTAAGAATTGGGCTGAATGAGACAAACTATGTTTATGTGGTTCTTCATATGCTCTGGGTCGTGAACATTGTGTGTCCACCATTTTTCGCCGACATCTGGAAGTTGGCCCCTTAGGAGCGACTGAGGCTCCTCAATTGTGTGAGTTTACTCCCTATGCATGAACGGGTTTGCTTCATTTTCGCTCGTGGCTCCGACTCCTGAGCTCCGAGCCGTCTAGTCCGCTAGACAGCTTAGCACGAATTGCACACGGACCAGACAAGGCCAAGGTCTGTACAGACACCACTTCCCTGCTTTCAGTTGGGGCAGGCACCGAGCAGGTTTACCTTCACTTCATACACTTCAAGCTAAGATGACTCTGTGGCCCCACTCCGCAGAGTCCGGATCAGCGCCGCACGTACTTGGTTTCAATTACTCTTCTCTCAGCCTGCCTGCTTCATCTGATCACAGTCTCTGAATAAGTGACCTGTGTCGAAGTTGGACTTACATTCGGCCAAAATTGCGACCAGAGCGGGTCCTACCATGCAGTCAGACTTCAATCCCTCCTCCGAATGCACTCCACAACGTAAGAAAATTGTTGTAGCAATGACGAGTGTACCTATACCATCCTCGGAATCACGACATTAACTGCTTTACGTCAGATCAACGTCGAAACTCATCGCATCACCCCTCAATGGGCACAAAAGACAATCAAATACGAGACCGATTACCAGGCTCCCGATGTTCGCCCACCGGCAGATCATGTCCATAGTATTCACGAACAGACTTCCCCGCTGACAAGCGGGTCATTTTGTGCTGATGGTATGGTCATCCTATCTTGACAGCATGAAAACTCTCGCAGGGATCAGCGTTGGCTATTGCAGAGATCTGATAGCCAGATTGGAAACGTTACTCTCAAAGAACGACAGAAATTGGTTCTGGTGGTGCGTGAAACACCTTCGAGCAATATTCGCCTGCGAAATATGCTCTCCGTCATTGAGAGCGGTGCAATTATTTTCCCACTTGTGCCGGTATTCTACACCCGCCCGGCCACCATTGACGACACTGGCAATCAGAGCGTTGGGAGGGTGCTAGATATGTTCTGTCTAGGCATAGGCAACTTCGAACGTTGGTCTGGCTTCTCCTGATTAAGGGTATGGTCAGTCCAAGCCTGACATGAGACTGCGATGTCCGATGCCTGTGAGAAGATAAAGATCTTGAGAATCCTACAGATCCGCGGCTTCGGCAGCCTTTAGATCTATTTCTGTATCAATAGTATTTCTGAATTGGTTGCCTACGACTTGCAGGAAGAAAGGTGATTGAGCATGGATCTACTACAATGCTTCGTTTCAAAAGAGGTTCAAAGCGGTGTGAAGACCTAGCAAGGCATTTACTAGATCTCTCTTGCGAACCGGTGGAGGAATCGGCTGCGTGAGGCTCGATTCCATCATTTGGCTTGCACACACGGAGAACCAACCATAAGTGGGATGGGCACTGACGACCAAGTCTTTAAGTCTGACCTAAGACAATCATCCAAGATGGGATCTATTAATGTAACCAATTCAAGCTCGGGGACCCGTGCCTCATCCAGGCAAGATGGCACCCAATGAGCACGTCTCCTCAAGGAACTGCGGTGCTGCGCAATGATAATCAGGCCCGAAGCCCGAGGCTACGCAACCTCCACAGCGGTCCCGCGTCGCTGCTGCAGCTCGCTGGTAGGGACCACCCGATTGTCGATGGCTTTTTAATTTTTACGATACTTTCTATATCCACGGCAGGATGATTCGGTAAATAGCTTTCTCTGCTGATTGGCTCCAGCTACAAACTGTCTGCGGTAGGCACATCTGCGTAGGCTCTCTAGTCTCTCTAGCCCGTGTTTATGATTGTGAGAGCCTGATTTTTCAGTCCCACGGGGAAGATTGAGGTGGCAGCGAAGTGAATTTGCCGGGTGAGCCTTAGCCAAAGAGTGGGTTTGGGAGTCCCCCCTTGTTGTTCAGCTGATGTTCATTATGATTACGGCGGTGTATGGAGTGTACCCGTCTATCTACCTTTATTATCACTTTATCCCGTCAACTTATCAAACTTCTCACCTGGTGCGAGGTCTTCGTCCAGTAAAGCTATTCAGCTGCCATGCCCGGCAGCCTTTCAGACACCACGACGAACAACGCCTTTTCTTGTCCGATATGCGACAAGGGATACGGGAGAGTCGACCACTTGCAAAGACACTTGGACACCCACAGCTCTATCCGTCCCTTCAAATGCCATCAGTGCGGAAAGTCTTACCGACGCAGAGATGTCCTGACTCGTCATTACCAGAATTGCACCTCCTCTTCAGGACTCCACCACAAACAAAATGCGGCTCCAGCGAGAAAGTCCAACAGAAGGTCATGCGACCGATGCGTAAAACAGAAGAAGGCGTGCAACAACTCACATCCCTGCGGCAACTGTATGGCCCAAAAAGTGGCCTGCACCTATCCTCCAGAGTTAAGCCATCACCGTCGTCAGGTCAGTTTGGCGATTTCCGACACCGAAGTCGATTTACCTGATGATCTGGAGTCCCGATATCCCCAACTCGGTTCGGCGATTTCCGACGCCGAGCTTGATTTCCCTGATAGTCTAGGGTCTCAATATCCCCAACCCGGTTCGAATGCTTCAGTGGTCCCTTTGGAGAGTCTCGGTCACTGTCAGCTTGCACAGAAGGATCCTTCCTCGGAGTTGCCGCAATATAATATATGCGAGGAAAGCACAGAACTCGAAGGTTTCGCCGCAAGCTCAGCGAACCTCGCCCTGGATTCGACGTGGCAGAACATGTGGCTCAGCAACCTCGACAGTACGTCGGCATTGATAACGAATCGTGACCCAGCCCTCCACTTTCAGTTCCTTATTCGTTTTGCGAAGAACCGAGGCCTTGCAGACACATTTGAGATTGGCAAATTCACTCCGGATGCTCAACAATCATCTTGCGGTCGTCAGAATGTCGAAGCACGGGATTACGGCCTTGGGTTATCCAAGGGACAGGTCGCATCAGAGACCAGTCCAACAGAATTGAGCCAGCTTGCACAAGATCGGACACTCATAATTCAGTTTTCAACTGGGGATCCAAGCCTGAGAACTTTGTGCAATGACCCGCTTCTGATGAAGACTATGGAAATATGTAATGGACTCAAAACGACACTGGCGAACAAATCAGTGAATTCGGCGTTGTCAATGGAATGGTCCCCCCTGACCGAGGCCATGGCCCAGCAATTTTTCTGCCCATCGAACCTGAGATCTTTCATGCAGAGATATTGGACATTGTGGCATCCCCACTGGCCTTGTATACATAGGCCTACATTTTGTTATCGTACAACTGCAAGCACACTTCTAGCAGCTCTTGTTCTGATTGGGGCTAGCCTTTCATCACACAGCCATGATCGTGACAATGCTAGCATCTGGTTTGACGTGGTTGAGGAGTGGGTATTCAACGATCCATACGTGTCGTCGGTGGCGACAGGCCGGGACGACCAGCATCTCTTTGAGAAGGACGAAGTTGGAAAGATTCAAGCTCTTCAATCCACCTATGCGGTTTTCATCTACCAATATTGGCAGGGCCGAGAATCTGCGAAGACAAGAGTCCGTCGAGTTCGATTTAATGTACTGGTCGGGGTAAGCACCAAGGAAATGCCTCATTGTCGGAAGTCGTTTCAAACCACTAGCTGACCCTGGCAACTGACAGATCATGAGAGACATTGGCGCCGGCAAAGCACAACATGTACAGGTTCCCCCGTTTAGTCAGGAACGCTTTGACTGGAGAGAATTTGTCAAGACCGAGGAGTTAATACGGTTGGCCACCCCAAGATAGTCCAGAACCATTCCAGGCTGACAGCTAATATGGTTACCATGGTTGGTTAGACTCATGACGTTTGTGTTTGTTATGGACACTGGCCTTACCACCTGGCACAACACTCCTACAAAGCTCGTCCTCCGCGAACTAGAGATGGCACCTGCGTGTCCTGAGCTGTGTTTTCAGGCAGAGTCAGCTGCTGGATGCGCGGACAAACTCAACGCCTGACGCTCCTGTTTCCCTTATCGACCTGGCGAAACAATGTACTCGGTCATCCGTGTCTTCTGCAAAGCAAAACTTCCAGATGATGCCAAATTACGTTTACTCTATTGTAGCTTACTAAGTCTATGGGCAGTTGTCAAAGGTATGAGGATTTTCAGCTCCTACGAGTACACCATTCAACGGCTGACATAATCCTCTAGCTTTCTATACAATGGTGTTCGCCTTGGACACCACCATCGGTCCGGAAGGCCATATGCAACCTATTTTGAATGGCATAGAGAATTGGAAAATCGTATGGAACTGCCGTCTGAACAACGGTGACGACGACGTGTTCGACGTGCCTCTTGCTGACAGTGTTGCGGGCACTTACAGATCCAGCGCTCGATCAGGCGGGAAATGTCTAGGTTTTTGGAGGTACGCTGCAGAGTACTGGCTCTTGGCTCGTATTCTCCTCATGAGAAAAGCATCTGTTGGATCCGGAGATCGGTCTGCCCGAAATCCGCTTTCAAACACAAATATCGACCTCAGTTGGGTCTTTTGTTCTTCTCCCTTTGACCGGTACGATCAGAATGCATTTCCAAGGCTGGTCAAATTCCTGCAGCGAGAACAGCGATTTGAAAATAGCATGAACCAATACTCGCTCTAAGGGCCGGCCCTCCGGGTTGACAATATGTGCTCCGCAATATCCTCAGTAAAAGTCCAACTCGGGAGCCTTTGATTGTACCACATTCCTTCCGAAGCTCATTTAATCCACTTCCAAATCTAGCTTTCTTGGAACTGTCACTTGTTGATTATTGAACAGAAGGGCGACTCATTGAAGCCAACAACTCTCTATTTGGCCTACGCTGACGGGAAACAAATTGGGCGTCAGCGGGCCCCGCCAACCAAAAAAGCCCCAGAAACAAGTCGGACATGGGGCCATGGACCATGTTTGAGCACTTGCAAACATGGCGTGGCTCCTGGATGGCTAGCTACCGGCATACTTCGGGCAAAACCAGCTTCTTCCTGATGACGATTAGGCCATGTTCCACGCATGAGCAGTCGGTCGAGAAAAACCGGTGCTCGAGTCCACCGTAATAAGCCCAGAGCATGGAGTGATGATTTCGAAGTTGATATAATACTGGACTAGGATCCCTTGTTATCGAGGAAGAAACACTCCTGTTGATTCTCCGTTCACGCTGTCTGACCTTGACAACAAGATGACCTACCAGTCTACTCGTTTCGATGTTGTCATCATCGGGGGAGGCCCGGTTGGTCTACTCACCGCGTATTGCCTCCAGCGCATGGGCGCCTCTACGTGCGTTATCGGTCGGTTTTATCCCTAGCCACTTGCTAGAAGAGGCTGCAGAGCTGACAATTTGTCCCTCAGAAAGGCTTCACAAGGAGAAGATGCACATGTACGGACGGGCGGCTTCGCTTTATCCGCGAAGTCTAGAGATGCTCGACCAAGTTGAGCTTCTTGAACCGTTTCTCCAGATGGGCCTCGTAGGGCGTAATGGGACAAACTTTGACAGCTCCGGTAAACGGGTGGCCGGAAGAGGGTGGCAGCAGATTTTCTCCCAGTTTCACGGAACATTCTTTGATTATTTTCTCAACATTCGCTTGAAGTACTCGGAAAGTATTATACAAGCTGCCTACCAACAGAGCGGGGGTAACCTGTTGATCGGCTGGGAATTCAGAGATCTAAAGCTATCTGCAAGCAAACACGACACCTGTCGCGTCACGGTACAAGTGGCGCGTGTGGACACTCCGGCGACCAAGGAAGTAAAATGGTAAGGACCTGGGTTTCATTTGTTAGTAGGACTCCTTGCAACAGGGCCAAAAGACTAACACAGACGCAGCAAATATCTTGTGGGTGCCGATGGGGGAAATTCTCTCGTGCGTCGCCTCAGTGGCATATCTTTTCCCCAAGATGCAACCGCCCATAATTGGGTACGAATCGACGCTGTTGTCAAAACGAACATGCCAGACTCCAGAATCGGCGTGGCAGGCATCGAATCAGTTTCACATGGGAATGTTCTTTGGGTCCCTCTCGACCACGGCAGGACCCGGATCGGTTTTGCTCTGAACAAGGAGATGTACGAGAAGTACGGGGACAAACTCACAGAAGAACAAGCCAAACATGAGGCAACTCAAGCAGTTCTACCTTTCACTCTAGAGTTCGAGTCTGTAGACTGGTACACGATCTACAGGTATGGGACATCTCAGAGCCGGCCCATTTGTCGTTAACGTTTCAGCAGTATCCGGCAGGGTGTTGCAGAACAGTACATGATTAATGACTGTGTTCTGTTAGCCGGCGATGCAAGCCACACTCATTCCTCTGGGGCTGCTCAAGGTATGAACACGGGTATTCACGATGCCATCAACCTGTCGTGGAAGTTGGGAGGAGTTCTCTCGGGCTGGTTTAAGCCCGAAATCCTGCAAACTTACGACTCGGAGCGCCGACCAATAGCGCGTACGCTCATCGAACATGACAAACAGTATTCGACCTTGATTTCGGGTGACAAGGTCGACAAGGTGTTCGAAGGCGACGTCAATCAGTTGCTCGCAAACCTGATGCGCAACACCGCAGACTTCGTCCTCGGACTGGGTATCGGCTACGAAGAGAATATGATCAACCTCAGTCCAAATGCTGGGTGCCTTAGCGCAGGCCACCGCTCCGATGACGCCATTTCTCTATGGTCCTGGACGTAGCGTGCCTGTTCGCCTACAACAGGTGACATTAAACACAGGCGCATTCCGGGTTATCATTTTCACAGGAAATCCCGGGATTACAAGACCAAGACTGAAAACTTTGCGGCGCCACTTAGATTCTCCGTGCACCCTCCGGGACACGCACCAACGTGGCGTGGTCAAATACATGACGATAATCAATGGTTGCAAACCCCAGGGTGAGGAAGCATTGGGAATGGCCAGTTTCGGGTTGATCTACTATGACCATCATGCCATTGTTCAAGAGAAGTTCGGCTTCACAGAGCCCGAGGGGGGAATAGCTGTGTTACGACCAGATGGCTATCTCGGTTTTGCCACTTCCTTGGATCGAGGTCCCGAAGTCGATGCCTACTTCCGTCAATTTGTTGCTGGCGAAAGTCAACCCGCACCGCTTTCTGAGCCTTGACTGCTAGGCTACCTTAGGCCGCCCCGAAATATAGAAGAGCAAGTAGAGATAGAGTGAGATTGGGGTCTCGGCAATATTAATTATTACGTTCTTTTCTATTTTTGAACAAGAAAAATGAGGTTTAACTTTGAATGGTGTCCACGTCCTACAAAGCTCCTGGATGCAGCGGGATGATCTAATAAGGTGTGGGACCGTTCACGGCCGCTATCGGGTATGACCTGATCATCTGTACTCGGTACAACGAACACACCATGCCCGAGATGCGAAACTCGTGCCTTTGGTGGTTAGGGACTGGTAAATACTGGAGCCTCTCCAACGGTACTCATCCGATGGGGCCCGGACGACAATGTCTAACCTAAGCCAAAGTCATTATCCTGCAGTTTCACTCGACGGGGCTCCAGCGTTGCCGAGGCCATATATCTCTACTCTAGTCACGGTCTGGCCAAAATAAGTGGGTCACCCAATGTTTTCGTCTCAACTCAAGAAACAGTCCGTATAGTAATTACTACTAGAACTAGTTCAATTCTTTGTCAAATAACATGAAATACCCATTAACTAGTAGGCCGTCATTTGGCCTTTACCATCGATAACTGCTTGTAATCTGGTAGGCATGCTGTCGACCCAGGCGTTGATTGTTGTCTGCGATAAGTGTTCCCACCCCTCCTGTGTAATCGTCCATACTATCTCGTCGTTCCAGTGAGTAAACTTTCTCAGAAAGCCCTTTGGTGCTTGCCAGGCATTCTCAATTGGTGATAGATCAGGAGAGTAAGGACAGTTGAAGTAATGTCGTAAATTATGTAGAGTTTTCCAAGTGCGAACAGGATTCGATTTACTCTTGCCATGGCCAGAATCACCATCTTCTTCAAGAACAGTATCAGGCGGCCAGGAAAGACACTCCTGAGTCAACAACGTAATATAAACTTGGTGTGTCATCTTGCCATTTGAGTTGTCAGTATAATATCGATATAGCTGGCTTTTATAGTTATATCCAATTACTCCCCATGCATGAACGCATTTTGTATCTTTATTCTTTGGTATCGCCTTTTGCTGAATGCAATCTGGACAATGAGCCTCTCCTGGTTTACGGGTAACCCAGACTCTACCAATAGGACCATATTCAAAATGAGCTTCATCAGAAAAGCGTACGTTTCGTCAATGTTGTGGTGTTGGATATCGAGATAGCATTAATCGAGCGAAGTTAACCCGAAGCGTAGCAAGTTTTGGTGATACTTAGGAACGTTGGCAGGATAAACAGCGACGATATTCCTTCTGTCGTAGATGGCGACGTAAGGTTCTTCCAGAGACATCAAGTCCAGACTCAATAACTAATTAATCCCAAGGTAAAGCGCGTCCATTAAAGCCTTCTCGCCAAAGAATTCTCTCAGCTAGGTGTGTATCTTTTTCAGTTAATTTTGGCTTTCTTCCACGCGTTTCCAATCTTATTTCGCTATGAGCTAATCGTCGAGGGTCTTCGCTATTTATGATTCGATTTTCAGAGGTCTGAGGGACGCGTTGTTGTGCAAAAAGCTGACGTTGACTGAGAGGCTTGCCATTGGCATTTCGTACAGATTTCGAACGGATCAGTTGCGCCTGCGCCTAAAGCCTAGCCCTGCTAGGAGTGTCCCAATGCTTATTAGGAATATGTGGCATATAGGTATACTAAAGGATCATAGGTAATTAGGTGGTAAATGACAAAGTATTGCATGCGCTGTAGTAGTATTTACAAAGAGGGTGTAGGAGCGCATTCAAAAAAAAACATTGGGTGACCCACTTATTTTGGCCAGACCGTGTCTAGTATATATATAGTTATCTACGCTCGCTAAACTCGGAAAGACTTCAAAGGGAAAGAACAACTTGACTCCAGCCAATCAGATAGCGCTGGTACCTACTGGGTCCAGGACTATAGCCACGACTACTGACTATTCCTGATATCTAGGACTTGGACTAGGAATGGTCGGAATGCAGCCATAGCAACGCTGGGGGCTTTGCACTCTGAGAAAAAGGGAAGAGAAGAGGGAAGCCAAGTCCTTTTCTGTCCTTGGAGAGAAGTGACCACTGCAGATAATTAATCCTAAGGGCGACATCAACACAATAACTTTATGGTTGTACTTTGCTGTCCATTGTACGCAACGATCAACGCTTCTCATGATGATCATCAGTTCAAACCAACGTTGATACTTTTCACTTCAGTGAAAGCCAGCATTTCGCTCAAACTTTCTTCCCTGCCCATTCCCGAGTCCTTCATGCCGCCGAAAGGTACTCCCTGGAAATGGCGCCCAACCTGGTTGATCCAAATGAACCCTGCATCGATCCTCCGCGCTACCTTGTGGGCCAGGCCAATGTCTCGCGTAAATATCGCAGCTGTGAGCCCCAACGGTGACGAATTGACCTGTTTAATGACGTCGTCGACATCCTCCCACTGCAATACGGAAAGAACAGGACCAAATATTTCTTCCCTTGCTATGGTCATATCGGGTTTGACGTTTGTAAAAATGGTTGGCTCGATGAAGAAACCATTCCGAATTTCCTGAGGTTCGTCTGGCTTCTGACCTCCTATCAGCAGCCTTGCGCCTTCCCGCTTTCCCGCCTCGATATACGATAGCACGCGGCCCTCGGCAGACTTGCTGATAACCGGACCCATGGTAGTAGATGGATCTGTCGGTACACCGGGCCTATAGTCCCGCTGGATGATCTCTACCACCTTTTGGAGGATGGTGTCGTGGTGCGACTTGTGGAGGAAAACTCGCGAGGTAGAACCGCAAGACTGTCCTGCCCAGGCGAAATTCATTCCCTGAGCGATACCAGCAGCGACTTTCACAGGATCGGCGTCGGGAAATGCGACAAGAGCATTTTTCCCTCCAAGCTCTAACAAGGTCGGCTTAAGCATGCCGGCCACCGACTGTTGAATAGCTCTCCCCGTAGGTACGCTTCCAATCAGCGTTACTTTCTTCACCAGCGGATGTACAGAGAGTGCTTTACCACACTCTGCACCACCAGAAAGAACACTGATGACGCCAGGAGGAAATGTGGTATTCAGGATTTCTGCTAGGCGTAGACAGGAGAGTGGTGCTTGGTCTGGTGATTTGATGATAACTGTGTTTCCAGCAGCAAGAGGAGCTGCCATCCTGGACGCAGCAAACATGAGCGGATGGTTAAACGCCACTATCCGGACTACCACTCCGAGAGGCTCTCGCACTGTGTAATGGAACGTAATGGAACGTGTCAATCCCTTGGGGTATTGTCTCTCCCTGGAGCATCGGTATCAGTCCAGCAAAGTATCGAAGACTTTCGGCCGCTATCTTGGCATCATTCAGCATAGCCGTAAAAGGGTTCCCGGTGTTTAAGGCATCAATCATAGCAAATTCTTCTGCGTGCTGTAGTAATGCGTCTGCAGCTGTCAAGAGGCAGTCCGCCCGTTTGGTGGGTGGAGTATTCCTCCAACTTTCGAATGCTAGATGGGCTGCCTGTACAGCCGCATCCACGTCACGAGCCCCTGCCTGAGCGACTCTTCCAACGATCTCTCCATTCCCGGGGTTGTAGGTTTCACTGAACGTCGATTCAAATGGCGAGTTCCATTCGCCGTTGTAGAAGAGTGTGTTGTGAGAGGGCAGACAGTTCACGGATGCCATTGCTTACAAAATGAACAGTGGGAACATGCAAAGGGAAGGCGAATCTTTCGACTGCGCATTGTCAAGCTTGGACAGGACTTATTAAGAATACTTCGGTTTAGTAAACGTCGGCCAACTTCTCTATGCTAGGGAGGCCGTAAGCGTAAGTTTCGGCGACATTAAGTGCTAGTGGGGCTTCAACAACGTCCCCAGGAAAGTATCGTCAAGTGTTCCTCCCCGCATCCGAAGAGCGTCAGCTTATACGTTAGCTTTTAATGATCTGGCCTGGTAGTTACTGAGGAAGGCCCCAGCTCCGACGGAAAGCTTACTATGGTGAGGAGCATAGCGGAATTTGTATACATCGGCCACGTCCGAGGAGTGCCCGTCGTCACCGAACATGAGCTGGACGTCAGGTCCGTCAAATATGAATATAAAGACATTCCGGAAGCACGAGTTTGGTACAATGCTAAAGACTTGGAGAAGCTTCAGCGTTTCGTATAGTGACAGTCTGAATTCCGACCGGAAGAATCCTAAAAGAATAAGCCCAACATGGCTACAGCCACCAATGAGATCCTCAAGGGAAACAAAGATCTCCATAACAGTTGGGGATTGAAACCCCAGAAGTGGGAGAGTGCCAAAGACCTTGCTGGCTCAGGCATCCCATGTCGAATCGAAGGCGAAGTGAAGGACATGATGGTCTTCGGCGAAATTCCACCAGAAATCAATGGCACGTTCTACCGGGTAATGACAGACCCGTTCGTCCCGCCTCACGTCGGAACCACACCAATTGATGGTGACGGCCATATCTCAGCCTTCCGATTTCATAACGGCCAAGTCGATTTGAAAATGCGCTACATCGAGACCGAGAGATACTTGCTCGAACGCAAAGCCAACAAATCTTTGTTCGGTCTGTATCGGAATCCTTATACTCACCATCCCTGCGTTCGAGCGGCAGTTGACTCCACGGCTAACACTAATATCATTTCATGGGCCGGGAAGTTCCTGGCACTCAAGGAGGTGGGCTTGCCCTATGAAGTGGATCCAGACACTTTGGAAACGCTAGGGTATGACCCTTTCGCCGGCCAAATCTTATCCAAAACCTTTACGGCTCACCTAAAGGTTGTGTCACGAGCCCACCGTTGTCCCTAAGTACTCTACGCCCTCCACCCGAATCGGGTAGACGGTATAGAAAGAAATGGAAAGGATAAGGCAAAGGACGGTTGAGGCACAAGGCTATCGGTTAACGCTGCCTTACTCTTTTCACGTGATAGAAAGAGAAGAAGCTATAAGAGTCTCCTCTTATCTGAATCGGCTGAGAGAGAACTCTTCCTTTTTCTTAAGCGTTGAGTGGTTGTCAATAGAACTACGTAAATAGAATAAGGTATTTAGCTACTCTAATTTCTTTATATCTACTACGTTGCGTAGATTCTTAATAATTTTTAACGCTTATTTATTACATAGTGATACTATCGAGCTAATAGTAGCTATATACGATTCTAAGGAGATCTTTAAAAACTATCTTTACTAAAGTAAGTTCTCACCTAAATTAGATAAGAATGAACTCTCTTGTTAGACACAGCCTTGGAAGAGACCGGTCGCGGGCTGCGAAGGCGCGGCTCAGGACATTCATTGGACAGATGGAAGGATCCACAAGGGAACAAGGCTGAACCACGTGATATGCCCTGTTGGCTCTGTCGGCCCTGTGGGCTCTGCCAGCAGAGCGCACAGAGCGCACAGAGCGCGCAGAGCACGAGCATTATATATACACCCTCA